CTTTTCGAACACCCGTTCGTGGTCCTTGCTGCTGTTGCTGTGTTCGGGGGAATGCGTGGGGTGGTCTCTGGTCTTGGCTGGTCCACCCTTGACGTTTCCTGTCCTTGGCACTGAGTCGATGTCCGAGGGCGCCGCTGATGCATCGCCCTGTCTGGGGCCACCCGTTTTCCAGGACTGCACATTGTAGCTGGTCGCCTACCACTACTCGCACTGTCGCGCCGTTCCCCATGGCGGGCAGGGGCGCCCTTGCGATGTCCACCGTCTGCGCGGCCTCTGGGAGGTTCGCGTGCCCAGAGTGGAGGTTGGAAGTGACCTCGAGGGAGGGGTTGTCCACCAGGAGGAATCGGTGTCTTTCCTCTGGACTCTGGGGTTCTGGTGCGAGCTCCCGTAGTAGCTTCTCCAGGTCCTCCACGGGGGGGTCCGTGGCTTTGGCTAGCGCTTCGAGCCTCTCGTTGTCCCAGGGCAGTAGCTCTCGCCACGGTAGTCCTTCGACGAGTGGTCTTTGCGTGATTGGGTCGGTGGGCCCCGTCCGGATTGAGATATTGTAGAAGGCAACGTTGGGGCAAGTCAGGAGCGGGGGGCGCATGCGATAACAGAGGCTCAGCTGCACCACTGCTGCGCTGTCATCTCCCAGGGCATTGTGCAGCCGCTCGAAGATGGAGATGCATCGCCCACGGTCGGCCGCCTTTCTGGAGAGGACGGCGGGGGGAAGTTGCCCGGGGTCGCCGACTAGCACCAGGTGGCCGCCGGAGCGGATGACACTGTCAAGCGACATGGCAGCCATTAGTTCATGGGCCTGGCCTGCTTCGTCGATGATTAGTAGGGCTACTGGCGCAGCGTGCTCGAGGGCCTCGGCGGACTCGTGCGTCGCGATTATCGTCTTGGCGTCCCTCAGCAGCTGCGTACGGAAGGCATTGAACTCTTTGGAGGACCCGCCCTGGTGCGGGGGACGTTTGTGCGTTCTGTAGAAGTGCCCCCCCGGGGTGAGAGAGGCTAGTTTCTGTGCTACCCGGAACTCCTTGGCCAGACGGACGCACCTGTTGGGGAAGCGGGTCCTTTCCCCTAGTCTGCCTGCGTCGTGCGCACTCCCGAGGCCGACGGCAGGCTGGTCCGCAGCCGTGTTGGACCCGGCAGTTAACGCAACTGCGTGCCCGTCGGGGAGCGAGTCGGCCCACGCGCCCATGGTCGCGACTGAGAAAATCGTCTTGCCAGCGCCGGGGGGGCCATGTACAACTGTCACGTGGTGCTGTCTGGAGGCGGCCAAGGCTCGCGTAGCATCTTCGTTGAGTCGGTGTCGCCTGGCGCCCTCGTCGAGGGTGGGCGCTGGGGGGAGGTCTCTGACCCGCCGGAATACTTGCCCAGTGGAACTGCCCACCTCATCGTCGGAGAAGGGCGTGTCCAGCGGCGCCTCTCTCTGCTGCTGTGGGCAGGCAGCACTACCGTTCGCCACTGCTGGGGGAAGGCCGGGCGTCCGGGCCCCGACGGTGGCCCGTGCCCGCGAGAGGAGTAAGTCGCCGCTCCTCCTGGTGTTTCCCACGTCGTTGGCCAGCCTCCGGCTGCACCTGTCAGCGGCGCGGCGGGTGAGGAGGGACGAAATGACGTCGAGCGGCGCGCCCTCCAGGTCGCCTGGGGCCTGCTGTAGTCTGTAGATTTCGCTGATGGCGCTGGAGATCCTCCAATACTGTATCTTGGGGGTTTCCTTGTCCAGCCTGCACCAGCCACCTCCCGCTTCGTCGGGCTTGGGGCGCGCGCCGTCGGGGTGGAACACCCCAAATTTCTCCGTGTCGTACGAGGCCAAGGCATGGTTGGTAGGAAACTTGGACCCAGGCCGTAGTTCCATGGCTTCGCAGTCTTGTTGGGGGATGGTGCCTCCGAGCTCTGGGGGCCAGAGCAGTTCGAGCGACGCAGCCAGATCCGCCGTCGGGCTGGTGATGCTGAGAAGCAGCGCACGCGCTTCCCGTGCACCCTCCTGTCCCCTGAACAGAATCTTGAACTCTCTTGGCCACTCCAGGTGCAGCAGCAGCAGCCCCCCTCCTGGGGGGGAAGGCGTTGCGCAACCTGTATTTGTCTAGGAGAGGGCAGGGCGTCTGCTCGTTGATGAGGGTGACTGACACAGCCAGCGCGCAACTCTGCCTGCGTACCAAGTCAGTTCTGGCCTTGGCAGAGCCGCCCCATACTGCTTCGGCGGCTGCCATGCACTCAGCCCACGCGAACCTGTCCAGGGCGAACCCTCGTTTGCGTATATCTTGTTCCCAGTGCCTCGGTGGGCACACCCCGGTGGGGACCTTGCCCAATGGACTGTGGAGGCGGAATTGAGCTCCCGGGCTGTCGGCGGGCATGGCCCAGAGGATCTCCATGAAGGCAAACGGGAGGGGGTGTCATAATCGATCGGGCCTGGTCCATTTGGTTTGATGGATTTAGGAGCCTGCCCCGTTTGCGTCATCATCATCATCATCATCATCACCATCATCATCACATAGTTTTCGCGCACATTCTTATATCGTGTTTTTGCCTCAGCGATCAGTTGTTATTCTGTTTTTTTTTTCTGTATTCGCATATGATTTTTCCATTTAACTAAACGCGGCAAAGGTAATCCAAATCAAGCCTTTCATCGGCTCGCACCTGCTTCGTGCAAGCTAGCGCGAGGATGTCTCAAGCGACATATAGTGTTTAATATAAAACTCATGCAAACGCAATGGTACGTAATCAACGTGTTGATGCATATCACGCGAAACAATGCGGACCGCATGTAGGTGAATGTAAAGAGCTCTGCAGTCCGCCGCGCCCCAGCAGTTCAAAGAAATCACTGCTATTCCCAGATTATCCTCCTCCTTCTCCTTCTCCTTTCCTTCTCCTCATGATTCATCCTTCTCCTCCTCTCCCTCCTCCTCCTCCTCCTCCCTCTCCTCCTCATCCTGCCTCCTCCCCCTGCTGCGGCTGTTCCTCCTGGTATCATCATTATCCTCCTCCGCCTCCCCGTGGGCGTCGTTTCCCTCATGCGCCCCATCTTCATGTGCCTCACCAAAATCATTGTGTCTCTCGTCGTTTTTCACGTATCATCTTCCTCCTCCTCCTCCTCCCCCTCATCCTCCGCCATCTGCCTCTCCGCATTTGTTCTCTTGATGTTCGTCCTCTGTTTCGTCGGCTTCATGATCCCACCGCTCTGTCCCCCCTCCTTCCTCCTCAGGTGTCCACCATCGCCCTCGCCCCCCTCTCGTCCTCCCCCCATCCCCAGATTCGATCCACCCCTCTCTCTATCCCCCCCTTCTCCCCCTCGTCCTCCTCGCCCCCCTCCCCCCCCCCCCCCCCCGCTCATCGAAGGGCCCCCGCCCCCGTGTGTCCCGCGCCCTCATCACACCCCCTCCCCCCCATTCACTCCCTCCCCCATTTTCATCATCATCCGCGCCGCCCTTCCTCGCCTCCTCCTCCTCCTCCTCCTCCTCCTCCTCCTCCTCCTCCATCAATCATGATCATCATCACATCGCGTTCATCTGCCTCTGTTTCCCGCTTGTCATTCCGACCCCCCCCCCGCTCGCCGCCGTTATCCTCACCATCGTCATCATCAACATCGTCGTCATCGCCAGCATCAACATCGCCACCTCACCCAGCATCCCCACCCTCATCTGTCGACTCAACCATCGCCCCCCCCCCCCCCCCCCCCCCCCCCCCCCATCCTCATCATCCCCCACCTGATCCCCCCCCCCCCCCCCCCCCCTGATCCCCATCGCCCTCCGTCCCCCTCTTCCCCTCCCCCGCCTCCCACCCCTCATCCCTCCTCATCCTCTTCTCATTCCTCTCGAGGCGTCTTTAACTTCCTCCTCATCATCATCATCCCCATCGCTGGCGGTGCTTTGGGCAGGGCGCCGAGCCCCCCCCCCCCCCCCCCGCGCCGATCGAAATACACCCGACCTAATATCGACGCCCAGGTTGCTCGACTGCCCGATCCGTCGCCGCAGACTCTCTCTGGGACGGGCTTCGAGCGGGCGGCGGGGGCTCGGAGACCCCCCCCCCCCCCCCCTCCCCCCGCGTCATCGACACCCTTTCTTAAAGGTGGAGCGGCGGGCGGAGGCGGACTTCGAGCACGGCGAGTCGTTTCCGTCGTCGTTGTCGCCGTGGTCGTCCTTCCTCCTCCTCCCTCGTCGTCGTCGTCGTCCGTCGTCGGCGTCTCGTCGTCGTCCCTCCTATCTCGTCGCCGTCGTCGTCGTCGTTGTCGTCGTCGTCTCGTCGTCGTCTTCCCTCCTTCCCCGTCGTTGTCGTCGTCGGCCCGTCCTTCCTCCTTCTTCGTCGTTCGCGTCGTCGCCGTCCTCCCTCCTCCCTCGTTGTCGTCGTTGTCGTCATTGTCGTCGTTGTCGTCGTTGTCGCCGTCGTCGTCCTCCCTCCTCCCTCGTCGTCGTCTTCGTTGGCGACGTCGTCGTCTTCGTCGTCGTCGTCGGCGTCGGCGCCGTCTTCGTCGTCATCGACGTCGGCGTCGTCGTCGTCGCCGCCGTCGTCGTCGCTGTCGTCGGCCGTCCTGCTTCTCCGGCCTTCTTGGGGCGCTCTTGAGACGCCCCCGAGGGGTCCAAGACGACCCCGTACCGATATCTGTGCTCGGTCCCGCATGGGTTTTGCAAACCAAGTTGCGGGTGGGTGGGTGGGATGATTGCGCGAGCAGTTGAGTTGACAACTTTAAGTTCGGCAAGTGAACTGCACCACGTAGACTGGACCACAAATATGCACCACATAGATTGTGCAACATAGATTGCATCACCTAGACTGCGCGACACAGATTGTAGCACATCGACTGCACAACACATATTGGTAGAAACGCACTGTTCAGGGTCCACACTTGCTAATACTTGTTTGATGGCTTCTTGCAAGGGTCGTTACCTCGGGGGGAGGCGATAACAGTGACGCTTGGGCGAGATGGGGCACGGTTGAGCGGGGGTTGCGCAGCGATCGCCATAACATTCGCGCGAGCGTCAGCATGTGGGGGAGTGTCCAGGCCCCCACTCCCTGCGCACGATCGTCCGACCGAGCGGCGTCCTTGCGGCGCGCGATCTGCAGGAACGACCTGATCTCCGTGATCTGCTTCGGCATGCCTGCCCAGACTCTCTTCTCTTGCGCCGCGGTGCCCCCGCCGCCCTCGCCCCCCCCCGGGGTCGGACGGAAGGGGGCGCTTGGCGAACCATGCCAAAGAAGCTTTCTCTTCAGAGCCAAGCAAGTTCACTTGCATGGGATCTCTGCCCCGCCCCCCACGCTCCTCCGCCCCTCCGCCGCTTCTGGGCCGCAACGGCGTGCAGAAAAGCTCCGGCGCGCGTGGGGTCCAACCTTCCGCGCGGGCCTCGCCACGCCCCCCTCCCTCCGCGCAGGGACAGCTGCAGAGTCTGACAAACCACTGCCTGCTGCACAAAGGAGTTTCCCGGTATCGAGTGGTTGGCGTCCGGCGGCGGGGCCGAGGCCACCTGCACGTGCTGCATGCGGCAGGCTTCGCCCCCCCCCCTTTCCCCTACCCCCTGCTTTCGTCCGACTGAGTCCCCAGGAAAAGGACCAGGATCTTGATGCCTCGCAAAATAACAATGGGCATGTTGTATATGCCACGGGAAATTAGGTTTGGGTCACAGGACACGAACGACAACATGGTCGAGATTTGTGTGGCGCGCGTCCTGAACCACTATGAACGTCGAATTTTTCTGGGGAGCAACAAAAGCAGCACGAACAAGGTCAAGCGAATGCCACCGGCCAGTCCGTGCCGCCGCTCCCATGGCGGTAGCGGGTGGTGGGAAGAACGCTGGCAAGATCAAGACCGCGCGTGCATACACTCAGGCTCCTGGGCAAAACAACGTACCCTGTACAATGCTCTGCCTGTTGTCCGGGCGACAACTTTTGAAGCGCACACATGTGCGTGTATATACACACAGATATGTGTGTGAGTCTGAGTGTGTGTTGGCACGCCATGTGCCGCTAAGTGGTGGCGAAACAAATTAATTTGGTTGCCCCTGGCCCCGACACGGAGGGAGAGAGGGATATTGGAGGCGAGGCAACTCGAAATGAACGCAAGAACCGTGCGCGCTCCATTAGGGAATCCGCTCATGCCCATGAGGGCATGGCGTGGAAGCTGTGGCCTCTAACATGTGATATGTTGGCGGATCCACGTCGTAACGTCCACTCAATGACCCTGGCGGTTGATCACCATTGCAAGTCGACCGAACTTGTGCGTTCGCGTTGACTTGGTCCAGTCGCTGCCCGTACCTGATCCTGCCCAGCGCCTGCGTCGCACCAGTGTCCGCTCAAGCTGTGGAAAAACTTCCGGACATCGTCGTCTCATCTCTTCAGTCCCCCCCCCATGTCGCCGGCGCCCTCGCTGTCGAATGTTGACATGTCGGTTCCAGTGGGAGGTGGTGAACAACAGGATCCGCCCATTTGCAAACAATTCTGCGGTGCATTTTTACTACATGAGGTAAGTCACGGTTCTGCCCTCTGCTTGCTCCCCCAGATGGAGACGGACCACATCTCGACGTCGTCGTCCTGCACCGGTTGCTTGTCCTCGTCGTCGTTGTCTTCGTCCTGTTCGCTGGGCTGCTGGGTGGGTGAGTTTCTACAAACGTCGGATTCAGTTGAGTCGTTTGGGGCAATGTTGCTGGTGTCGTGGCAGCTGGCTAGCGGTGCGAAGTCGGTGTCGCTGCCGTGCGTCGACTTGGGCTCCCCAGTATCATTCTGACCATCCGGCGCTGTGTTCGGCACAACTGTTGTTTGAAAGGCTCTGTCACAGTCCACGTTCCTCCACCGTACATCAACATAGGTACAACGCTGCACCTGTACAATCGCAGTCGGTGTCCCATTGGGCAGTGCTTGCTATTGAGATGTTGTTTGTGTCCGGTGAAGTCTGCCCATGCTGCTTGAATTCGGTGCTTTACTTGTTCCAGAAGCGTCATTACAAGAAATGGTCTCGCCCAAATACGCAATGGTGCTTGCTCGTGGCAACGCATTTCGAGATCCATGCTAGTTTGGCCACCTGGCCGCGGTGCCGAGGCAGGTTAGTCGTGATCTTTGTTTGGGTCGCGTGCAATTCTTAAACGTGTGGCTTGGCTGAGGCGGCGAGGTCAGAGAGCACTATTGCCTTTATGTTGGACACTGTCAACCAGATGACGTCTGCGAGCCGGAGGTTCGTGAGTGTCGACTCCTTGGTGCGGCCGAGCTGGACGCCTTGGCGCCGTCTCTGCCATTCTAGGATCAGTGGTACCAGGACTCGTTGGATCAGCGCGTTGACCAGCAAGGAACTCAGGTGATCCCCCTGCTTTGTGCCGCGTCAGAGACCGGACAATTTGCTGGCGACCTTGGTGCGGACCACGTCTGCTTGGTCTTGACACATGCGCCGGAGAAGGTCGACATACCCATGTAGAACGTGTTGGTGAAGTAGGTCTGGCTCACAGGCTGTCGTGCCCGACTGTGCAAAAGGCCTTTTGGACGTCCACGGCTGCAGCCCAGAGGCTCTGATTCCATTCGGCTGCTCCTTCACGTGCAACGCCGAAACTTAATGAGGTGGTCACGGGTGGACGACAGCTTGGTCGTCAAGGTGCTGTCGGTCCAAAGTCAGCTGTAGACGGTTGTGCAGCAGTCGGCCGAAGAACTTGTGTAGCATCGGCATTGCGGCATTGTGCAGATCGAGCGATAATTATGTGACGTGTGGAGGTGCTTAGTCGCCAGGCTTGGGGACTAAAGTGATGACGTTCTTTCTCTTTGGCCTGCGTGGGAGCGTCTGCCCGCATGATAATGCTGTATTGCTGCAGTAGTGCGCACTGGGGTTGCAGGCCTGGTCGCTGGAGCATTATACCGCGAAGTGCGGGATGATCTGGTGCTCTGCCGTCCTTGGGCTGTCAAATCCCACCAGCAAGTTGGGTTGAGGGTTGAGGTGTCCTCTTCGAACAACCATATCCTCTTCGGGATATGGTGAGCTCCCTCCTGACGTTTTGTTCGGGGGCTTTCGAGATGTGTCATGGGGGTCGCTTTTCACCCAACATGGCTCCAAGAGGGCCTCCGATGCTCCAAGATGGCCTGTAAAGTGTCTCAAGATCGCCAGACGTGGTTCAAGATAGCTTCTGACATGCCTCCAACAGGCTTGGCGAGGGCCACGCGACGGTTTCCAGTGCTCTCGGGTCCCCAGAAGCCAGTATCCTTCAACAACCTGTAGCAAATCAATGATGGTTGCCCTCTCCCCTTTTCGAGTCCGATGCGCTGTCGAGGCCTCAAGATGGCCCCCAAAACAGGCCAATAATGGGCCCAAACGGCCGACAACGGTGCCCCCCAGAGCGCCCATGATCGCCCCAAGAGCGTTCCAGGAGGGCCCAAGTGGCGATTTCGAGGGCCCCGAACAGGGGGGGTCAAACGTCATGGCCCCTCTCTTTCCACCGACGCCCTCCATGATAGTCGCAAGGGGCGGGTTGCCTCGTCCTCTTCTTCCCTCCCCACCCTCCTCCTTTTCCTCCTCCTCCTCCTCCTCCTGTTTCCTGCTTCCTGTTGGCATGAGAATGCTCCGCGCGCCGCCGCTTTCCCCAGAGGGGGCCGGTCGACCGTCCCTGGGGGAGTAGAACAACATGTAGAAGAGCATGGACAAGAAGTCCGACAGACAAATACGATGGGGCTGAAGCGTCACACCCATCAAAACCTCCAAAGGAAAGACGGACGGGATGAAAGGCGGCGCGGCGGTTTTGCGTCGGCACTGGCAACGAAGGACGACGCGGATCCACTGAGCCGTGGGCGAGCGTGGCGGCTGGCAGGCGACCTAAGGCCGCAGCTGCAAGGAGTGAGCGATGTAGGAAGTCGAATGGAAAAATGCGGCGGGCACCTGTCGCTGAGATCGGGTGGCTCGTTGCCATTCGTTCACGGCCGACTCAGCCATCGCACTCGCCGAGAGCGGCCGCGGCCAATCTCGCCAGGGCGGGTAACAGAAAGGCGTCACGCCCTGCACCTATATCCCCCCCCCTGCCTCCGTTGCCGCGGCAGGAGTGGGGTACCCAGATCATGGGACTGGTGGCCGCTTAGGGTCTCTCCGCCGTGCGCGGGAATGGTTCATGTCATCCGCGGCGGCGGCTCGCTGTAACTTTGTTTTCCCCCACCGCCTTGTAAACCCCTCCGATCCTCCCGTGTGCGGTGAACTGGCCAAACGGCTTGCAGGTTATCCGGGGTCGCAGCTGCTAGATGTAGCGTGGGGGGACTAGTGGGGCCAAGGGGGGAGGGGGGGGGGGGGGGGGGGGGGGGGGGGGGGGGGGGGGGGGGGTGGAAAGATTCTGAGAGCGACTGGCCACGAAATCTGGTGACCTCGTTGCCAAATAACTTGCGACAGTGCAATGCTTCTTCCTCCTCCTCCTCCTCCTCCTCCTCCTCCTCCTCTTCGTCTTCCTCCTCCTCGTCCTCCCCTCGCCCCCGCGCGGTCCCCAGGGATGGCATCCCGAGAGATCTCGATGTTCATCCTGGTGTTCGTTTTGTTTCGCTTCGCTAATATGTGTCTCGTCGGCCTTCTTTTCCCGAACAACTCTCATGGGCAATTTTTCCGAAAAAGGCTGGAGGGGATATTTGTTTGGGTTAAGGGGGCGCGCGAAACGAGTCGAACGCCGAACGTGCCAGGGCAGGCCGCGTCGGTAACGACATTAACAAACGATGCAGGCGGCGACGCGCGAGGAGCCGTGAAAACGACCAGGCGGTCAGCAGCAGAAGAGCGTGCCGTAGGCGAAAAATACGTGGGCGCAGCTAACTTAGCGAACAAAAAAGCACAAGACACGCCCAAAAAGCACGAGGAGGACGCTGAAGAGGACGGAGGCGGATGATGGTGGACCGCCACGCCGAACAAACACCGCAGTGCCAACGTGGAAGACGCGGCCAAATGGCGCGGAGAAAACCAACGAACGGCCGCGGACGATGGCGGTGGCACGCAAATGGGACCCGTGAAGTAGTACGGACGGCACCCTGGGAAAGCGGAACACGAGCAGGAAAGATGCAACCACGCCAAGCGGCAACAGTCATCCAAAAAGTCGTCACCAACGCATCCCGGCCGTACAAATAAAACGTCAGATGGCCGCCAAACGACTCCGTGAGCCCCGCGA